AAAAGCCATGAAAGGCCATCCGGTCCAGATTCGACAGGAATTAGGGTCTCGTTCGACACCACTAGAGAACCCTAAAGTCTCAAGTGCACCCTAGTCCCAAAATCGTGATTAAAAAATACTTACAGCAATCTTCGTTCCATATGCACTTGAGAAAATACTAGAGACGCCAGCACTAGAAACGACCGCGGGGACTTGCAGTCGTGGTAGGGCGGTTGAGGTCCTCGACGGGTCATCCCTAATGGACTCGTGGTTTAGAAAAATATCCGGGCCTGGGGCGGCACGAGGGACAATCTTGGGCCGGCGGGTCCGCGCCATTATTTGAAAATTCGAATATCAGTGTCCTGTGTTCCGATAGTGACGCCCGATGGAGGGGGTGGGTCCTGCATACAACGAGGCTCAAGTAGGCCGTGCACGTCGTCTCTTCCGTGAAGTGATGTCCATCACGGGGAAAACTGCAACATTGGCGTGTGGCGTGGTGGCGAGGTCCCCTGCGCAGTCATGCACGAGAGTGGCGAGGCGATGACGCGTAGGGAAAAGGGTTTGCTGGTGAGTGCGTTGACGATGATGTACAAACATATGGAATCCACGGTTGAGTTGAGGCGGCGTGCTTTAATACGTAGGTGGAAGAAGGAGGCAATCATGAAACAGGCGATGGTGGAATCGGCGACCTCCGGTGTTCTGTGGGACGTACCTTTCTTGATGGCGAATGTCATCATTGCCGGTGTTCTCCCTCGTGAGAGTCTGCGTTGGTGGATACGAAGGAGGACGGGAGGAACATGGGGGAACCTCTGCATATCAGACGACTCAACGTCGGAGTACTTCCACGAGAAGCTGAGGATGAGCAAGGACCTCTTCTACGACATCATCGCCACTTGCAACTCGTATCTTCAGCGGCAGTTGACTCATTACCATGTGCCTCTCCAGTCGGATCACGTCATAGCATACACACTTTACAGATGGGTTTTGGGGGAAACCTTCGATAGTGGGACATCCTCATTCGGGATCGGAAAAGCCACTGACATCACCGTTGTACAAGACGTGACCAAAGCTATCTTGTTAGCGCACCCAGATAAAATGGCCATGCCTACTGGACAAAGGCAACGACAAGTTACACAAGCGTTCACAGCGAAGGGCTTTCCAAACTGCTTCGGGGCTATAGACTGCACGCATGTCTTTGTGGACAAACCCGCGAATGTACCCTCGAAGGACTACTATAATTGGAAGCAGCAATATTTTGTGGTCGCACAAGCGGTCATTGAGCTGAGGCAGATGGTGTTCAACATTTTCGTTGGTTATCCTGACCGTGTGCAGGACGCCAGGGTGTTGTGGAACTCGTCATTGTTCAAGAGGCCAGTAGCTGAAACTTTATTTGACGCCGAACCGATCATTCTTCCAGGAGGCGTGAGCACGAAAGGTTACCTTCTGGGTGGCAACGGGTACGATCCGAAGACATGAATGGTTATCCCTTACAGAGGAGTGGAGCAGCAATCGGACGTTGCCATCTTCGATGGGAAGCAGAAGGCAACGAGGGGAGTGGTGGAGAGGGCATTCGGGAGACACTCGCGGTTAACGACCACCATGAAAGATTATGAAGTGGTCTGAAACCGCCGAAATGACGTAAAGACACTTAAGGTCATTTCATAAGTTTCGGGTGGTTTGGAGGACAAGTTTTATGTTTTATTTTGTTTTTTTGTCTGTTTTGTTTTTTGGTTTAATATTGTTGTGTGTCACCTGAAATGACCTGAAGTGGCTGAAGCTTCTGAAGTTTCAGCCACTTTAGGTTACTTCAGGTTATTTAAGGAATTTCAGGTGGGGAACTGAAACTGCTGTAATGACCTGAAGACTCTGAAGCTTCTGAAAGGGGTTTCATGTCCCCCCATTCAAATGGTTAGATGGAAGTACTTGAAACCCCTTTCAGAAGTTTCGGCCACTTCAGGTCATTCCAGGAATTTTAGGTGGGGACCTGAAACCGCAGTAATGACCTGAAGTGGTTGAAGCCTCTGAAAGAGGTTTCAGGTACCCCCATCAAACCATTTGGATGAAGGGACCTGAAACCCCTTACAAAAGCTTCAGCCACTTCAGTTCATTTCATGAATTTCGGGAGGGACCTAAAACCTCCGTAATGACTTGAAATGGCTGAAGCTTCTGAAAGGGATTTCAGGTATCCTCATCCAACCACTTCATGTCATTTTAGGAATTTTAAGTGGGAACTTGAAGCCGTAGTAATGACCTGAAGTGGCTGAAGCCTCTGAAAGGGGTTTCAGGTACGGAAGCTTTAGCCACTTCCGGTCATGTCAGGAATTTCAGGTGGGGACCTGAAACCGCTGTAATGAGATGAAGTGGTTGTAACCTCTGAAAGGGGTTTCAGAAACCCTAATCCAACCATTTGGATGGGTGTAATTGAAACCCCTTTCAAAAGCTTCAGCCACTTCAGGTCATTTCAGAAACTTCAGGTGGGGACCTGAAACCGCAGTATTGATCCGAAGTGGCTAAAGCCTCTGAAAGGGGTTTCAAGTACCCTCATCCAACCATTTGGATGAGGGTACCTAAAACCCCTTTCAGAAGCTTCAACCACTTCAGGTCATTTTAGGAGTTTCAGGTGGGGACCTGAAGCGGTTGAAAGTCACCTGGAAATAGCGTCTGTTGTTAACCATCTCTCTCGGGAGCCTGAAGGGAATGTGAAGGCTATTGCTTCGCCCCCACAAAAAGAATATGGAAAACATGTCACAGCAGTTTCACGTTGTGTGCATCCACCATAACTTGCTAATTGACGCGGGAATCAACCTTGACGAGAGGGTTCTTCTGGAGCGGGACGCGGACGGTAATGAGCGGATGGTGGACCTGGGAACGTATCCGTCGACGACACCTGTGCGTCAAAGACGGACGGACCCTGCAGCTCTCGCCCTCGGGGATGCGCTCTGTGCACGTATGGTCATTCTACCTCATTGAGAGAGAGAGAGGGAGAGAGAGAGAGAGAGAGCGAGAGCGAGAGAGAGAGGGAGAGAGAGAGAGAGAGAGAGAGAGAGAGAGAGAGAGAGAGAGAGAGAGAGAGAGAGAGAGAGAGAGAG